TTTTCACCTTTTTCTTTTAATTTGTTACAGGGCAAGTGTGCTCCCTGGAGAGAGACAGAGAGGGAAAGTAAGAAATCATTCCCAGGGATGGCCATGCTGCAATCTTTTCTCCATTCTTTCAAGATTCTGGGCATGAATGTACATGTGCCTGGTGTTTTCTCTAAACCACGAGGTCCAGGACTCAAACCACGATTGGCCACATGGGACCCAGCTGCGTAACCACCATGTCACCAGCTGGCTGTCACTTCCTAATTAAGAATTTGTTTTTCACATTTCTTTATTTTTATCTCTTATTTCTTTTAGGACATTATCTATAGTGTGTTTGCATTCCTTCTACTTTAGCCTTCATTAACGAAACATTTTCATTTCTAATGTTTCCCTGAGTTTATCTTATTTCTGAACTTTTCCAATCTTAAATTTTCATTTTAAAAATTATTCTTTTTTATTATCTTCATATGATTTAGTTTTGATCTGTTCTGTGAGTCTATCTTTCTAACATATTTTCATTGTCTGTAAAGGTGCTATTTCTGTGGTTGATTCTTTCTTATTAAAATAACTTTAGGGGCCAGCCAGCAGATGGGGTAGTGGTTATGTTGCTGGACTCCCACATGGCTGACCATGGTTCAAGTCCTGGACCTGATGGCTTGAAGATCATGTCAGGCACGTGTGCGTGCGTGCCCAAGATCCCAGTGGGGGAAGAGAAGGGATTGTGGTGTGGCCATCCTCCCAGGGGGGGGTGATTTCTTACTTTTCCTCACTGTCTTTGTCTCTCCCTGGTGAGTGCACATGCCCTAAGGCAAAAACCTCTTAAAACAAACAAACCAAAAAGAGCTATTAAAATTACTTCAAAAAATGAGATTGATCTAAAAGTTCATGGGAGTTTTTTCCCCCAGACTAAAACAACTTTAATTTCCAAGTCTCTTGATAAAGCAGTATTTACAGTGTAAATCAGACTGTCTAATACAATTAACAAACAAAAGCAATTTTAGTACATAAATTAACCCATTTATTGTAGGCTAGTGATATTCCAAATGTCCACTGAGCCTCTATTGGTCTTCCAGTTCCTCAGTCTTATGATGGCACACTTTACTCTGACAGCCAAAGTGGTGCTCTAGGTCCAGGCACCACCAGCTACTGCTTTCAAGCTGGAACCACAGTGCCAGGTCTCCACAGCTTGTTTCTTCATCTCTTTTGCCACAGAAGGAGTAAATGTACTTGGTGTGCTGGCTGATTTCGATTTTCTTCACCATTTTCCAGAGAGAGGCACCATAGCAGGTGATGTATGTACCCATGATTCTGACATTCTTTCTTTATTTTTTAAGATTCTAAACATACTTTATTTCTTCAATAATGTCATATTTTAATGGGTAGATAGTACTTTTACTTAGCATCAGTTATGAGTTGATTTTGAAACAATTCATTGCATTTAGTTGTGTCATCACCAACTAGGTACAAGCCCAGAGAGGATGGGAGCTTTTTAAACTTCAAGTGTTTTAATTTTTTTTTTTTAATGCTCAAAAACAAGATTCTGCTGTAATGTCTTGGTTGACTACTTCCTATTCTATTATCTTAATAGGCCTCTTTTTCAATTTGATTTCATCCTAGCATTTTTTCTTTTGAGAACCCTATCCTGGAAGAAAGTATTGATGGATTTGGCAAATCAGTTTCAATACTTCAAAGCGACTACCTTGCTTCCATCCTTCAGACCTTATTGATGGCCTTGTGTACCACTAAAATGAGCAAGCCCTCTCCCACGTTCAAACTGTTCTCAGCTTGGCCTAAGTGTTTCAGCCCTTATTCTAACAAAAGTTCTGTTCTCAGGTCCATTAGATGTTCTTTTCTCCCTACTTGGCCTTAATAGATGCCGATACAATGTTGTGTGGCATTCTAACAGTTGGTGCTTGTCTTTACCCATTACTATTTTAGGATTTAAAGATTTATCACCTTAGTTTGTGGTAAATGTTCATGGGTTTTTGATTTTGCCATCCAGTTCCTCTTATGTGGGGATCTGGAGAGTGAAAACTGGCTCTACTGCCATCTTCTCCTTCTTCCATATTACCTTTAAGTTTTCAAAACCTACCCTATTTTTAGCTTACCCTGTACTTGTGGCTTCCAAAGGACCTCATGATGTTTCCATTTATCAAACCATCTAGACTTTTACCTTTTGTTGTCTTCTATCCCTAGAAAAACGGTCATTTGTTTGCTAATTCACTTACCATTCATCTATCAGCTCGCTTGTCTCTCTTTTCATTCTGTTAACTTTTGAGGATTTATAATGAGTTTTATTCCTCTCCTGCAATGTAAGTGGCATTTTTAGTCAGTGAGAAATGAGTATCTGTAGATCATGTTTGATTCTTTCTTCATTTGTTATACAACAGGACAACATGCATAGGTAATTCAAATCTGCTTTCGTTCTTTAAATGAGGTCTTTTCTAGACTGAGTCTTTTTGTTTCTTTCTTGTTTTGTTACAGTTTTGGTTATGTTTTTGTTCCATTCTAATCTTTTTCCCAACAACCCTATATTAAATCTCATTTAAAAATTAAAATATTCTAGGTCCCTTCCCTTTACCCTTCTTTATCAGAAGTACTTCTGTAATTCCTCTACTTCCTGTCACTTCAGATATTCACTTGTGTAGCTGGCTGTCTTTTCAGATCTGCCTATTTCTTTGCTGAGTGCTCGTATCACAGACTATGCAACTTTTACATCCTGCTTAATGTTTATAGCCCTAGCTTTAAATGTATGTTAAGGTACAAAAAAAGATACAGTAAGAAAAATCTGTGCTATTTTGAAGTTGAAGAAAATTGATAGAAGTAGTTTCTTTCACATGAGGCTGAAGGCGAGTTTCCTTCACTTCGTAATCTAAATTCTTTAGACATAACAGAGCACTGTCTCATTTGTGTAATGCACTTTGACTCTTCCAACTACTTTTCCTATCCTAGCAATTTTATTTTTAGACAAATCCTAAAGGACAGACAGGATAAGCAGGTGAAAATATTTAAAGTCTACAGAAATACAGTGATTTCCTTGAGGGTAAAATTACTATAGAATTGTGGGTTTCCATTTATCATTCTTACACTTGAAATACTGCAGGAATCTTAATAGATTTTTATAAACTTCAGGGGAATTTCCCAGTTAATGTCAAAACTTCTAAAAAACTGCCAAAGATAAAATTATTTTCTATTTAGCTTCTTATGAAAATATAAAAAGCTGAGTAAAAGTAAAAATTACACAATTAATATACAAAATGTATTATGTGTTAAAGATGGAATAGATCTAAGAATTGATCTTTGAGTCTAATAATTGCCTTATTCCCAAACAGGACTTCAGATCGATAAGATTCTCTTGCAGGCAACAGGTTCCCAGCAGTCTGCAATTATTGGAATATTGCTCTCTGAACATGTGCACATTCGGGTTTGTTAAATACATCCTCTTCTGATTCTGGAGTTAGTTGGATATTATCTTTGACTGGAGACAGAGGCTTTTTAAAAGAAGGAAGCTTTTCAGAATCCCTGCAAAATATATCAAATAAATTTAGTATTTTTAGTATATTGATTATTAAAAAAAATTCTCAACTTGGACAAAATAGAGATATATGAAGACAGGATGCGCTTTATTGTAAAATGTGCCTCAATTCATTATATAACATACTCAGATTCTGAGTAGTCCTAATAAAGTTTCAGTTTTGCTTCCTGGAGCTCTTTTCCACTTTTAAAAATCATCTTTCTTTCTTTCTTTCTTTCTTTTTTTTTTTTTGAGAGGTTTTCGCTATAGGGCGCATACGTTCGCCAGACAGACAGAGAGAGACATAGAGACAGAAAGCGAGAAATCACCCCCCAGGGGGGATGGTCACGCCACAATCCCTTCTCCATTCTCCTCTCGGGATTTGGGGCACACACGCACATGCGCCCAGTGTGAGTTTTAAGCCCCCGGGTCCGGGACGTGAACTGCGGTCGACTACGTGGGAGTCCAGCGACATAGCCATTACGCTAACTGCTGGTTCCCTTTCTTTTTTTTTTTTTGAGAGGTTTTCGCTATAGGGCGCATACGTTCGCCAGACAGACAGAGAGAGACATAGAGACAGAAAGCGAGAAATCACCCCCCAGGGGGGATGGTCACGCCACAATCCCTTCTCCATTCTCCTCTCAGGATTTTGGGTACACATGCACACGTGACCGGTGTAAATTTTAAGCCACTGGGTCGAGGAAATGAACCTCAGTAAACTAGATGGGAGTCCAGTGACATAACCATTGTGTCATCTGTTGGTCCCATTGAATCACCTTTCAATGTAGGTGCGAGGCAGCTACTAGATAAATACTAGCAAAGGCAAAAATAATCCCAAGAAAGGAACAAATTCTTTTCTCTTTAGTGCCAATCTCATCTCACTAATATAAATAAAACATAAACAAATGGCTAATCTGTTACTCCTTTTCTTCCCTGCTCTTGCTGGAAGGAGCTCTATGTCTATGAAACTTGATCCTTGAGACCAGCAGTTGGTGTAATGGCTATGCCGCTGAACTCCCATGGAGTCGACCGCGGTTTGAGTCCTGGACCTGGTAACTTAAACTCATGCCAGGCATGTGTGCGTGCATGCCCAAGGTCCCAAGAGGAGAATGGAGGAGAGGGGATTGCAGCATGGCCATACCCCCTGGGGGGGTGATTTCTTGCTGTCTGTCTCTTCTTCTGTCTTTCTGGTGAGCACATGTGCCCTATAGCAAAAACCTCTCAAAAAAAAACCAAAAAAAACCCAAAAACTTGATACTATTTTGAAAATAACACAGGTAATTCTATCTCCAATCAACAAAAATTAAACACTAGTTAAGTTTTATCTCCTAAAAGTCATTTAAGAACACTGCTGTATTTTTAAATTTCTCCCTAGTAGCAGTTCTCAAAGTATGGTCCATGGGCCTCTGGAGATTCCTAAGGCACTTTCAGGGGATTTGCAAGATCAAAATTATATTTATAACAACATTAGACTTCATTTGCCTTTTCTACCATGCTAACACTTGTACAGATGACACTAAAGCAAAACTGGGTAAAACTACTAGCAACTTGGCATGAATCAAGATGGTGGCACCAAACAGTATAAGTAACAAACAAATAAAAATTAGACTCAAGAATGTTCTTGATGAAGCAATACAAAAAACCAACTTTATTAAATCTCAAGCCTTTGGCGCCCTTTTTTTTTTTTAATTTTGCCATAAGGTTTGTATGCTTACTAGAAAGAGACAGATAGAGCATGAGAGGGAGCATATAGAAACATCCTTCAATGTGGCATGGTTACACTGCAAAGCCCTCTCCTCCATCTCTCCTCCTTTTGGGATTTTGGACACACATGCACATTTGCCTGGTATGCTTTTCAAGATGGGTCCAGGACTGAATGGAATTCAGCTGCCCTAACTATCAAGTCACATGTTGGCTCTAGTACACTGCTTAATATTCTTGACAAACAGAAAGCAAACATGAAGCATACTTAGTTTTGTTGTATAACTACGTATGATGATTATTTCAAGTAAAAGCAATGTAATATTAATGTCATTCAAATTTATATATTTGGCAACAAGCTTCTCTAAAATAAACAAAGAGAGCCTATTACTTGAGAGAAAATAATTAACAGTCCTTGTTGCCAATGAAGAAATTAGAACTTTCAAGTAAACATTACAATCTAAATAACTTTTATCTACCAATTCACAGCTTCCCATTACTTAAGATTTTGCTGCTTGTTAATGTTTTTCTTAAATTATATAATGAAATATGTCAATATCTGGAAGAAAATTATAAGCAGATATAAGAATCCCATTGAGTTTTATTAAACTAGGATGTAAAGATTTACAAAATATAAAAGTAATGCCACTCTTCTTTAAAAAAATAGCCGTTTTTCATTAAAAAATACTACTTTATGTTCATATTAATGGAATCAATATTATTTTAAAATAAATTTTTAAATGTCTATTATATTTGGTTAAATCTATTATAGATGGTTAAGTATTGACAAATATAACCCATATAAACCAATTTTTGTGGGCCCTCAATAATTTTTAAGCATGTGATAGGTTTAGAGAAATAAAAAGTTTGAGAAATGCTCCTATATAATTTAATCCTAGCCTTTTCACAATGCAAAAAAAAAAAAAAATTGGTCAGCTCTTACATATCTACAAAGCATTTCCAATTATACCATCTCATCTGACTAAGAATCTTTTTTTATTAAGTAAAATTAAATCCTATCACTTTTTAGTTTTGATTAAACTTAGCAGTTATTTTATTGAGAAGAATAAGAAAAAAACTGTAAATTGATGCTGCTCTGTGGTTAACTTTATAGTTTAATAGAAGGAAGCACTGCGGTTAAAAAAATGTAGCTATGAAGAGAATCAATTCTTTTAAATCAGTGCTTGTCACACACATTAGAAATTGGACAAATTCATGATCCTCCCCATTTTAGATGTGACGGTTTAGAAAAGTATGATAAAGCACTATACTTCCACCCCATCTAAAACATTATTCTCATAATCCCAGAAAGACAAGAGGCAAAAAAACCTGAGAAAGCTAAGAAAAGTAATATGCTAAATAATAGAGACCCCAAAGCCAGATTGAGAAATGGGGTTTTTAGTTTGACATCTTTTGACTAAAAGAAAGTGTAAAAACTGAAATTTAATAGACTTTTTTTTTTTTTTTTGAGAAGTTTTTGCTATAGAGCACGTGCGCTCGCCAGAAAGATAAGAGAGAGACAGAAAGCGAGAAATCACCCCCCAGGGGGGATGGCCACGCTGTCATCCCTTCTCTTCCAGCCTCCTCTTGAGATCTTGGGCACGCACGCACACGTGCCAGTGTGAGTTTAAGCCACTGGGTCCGGGACTTGAACTGTGGTCAACTACATGGAAGTCCAGCAACATTGTCTTTACACCAACTGCTGGTCCTGAAAATTTTTTTTTTTGGAGAGATTTTTGTTATAGGGCGCATGCGCTCGCCAGACAGAGAGAGACATTAGAGACAGAAAGCGAGAAATCACCACCCAGGGGGATGGTCACGCCGCAATCCCTGCTCCTCCATTCTCCTCTTGGGATCTTGGGAACGCACGCACACGCACCCGGCGTGAGTTTTAAGCCACCGGGTCTGGGACGTGAACCGCGGTCGACTATGTGGGAGTCCAGCAACATAGCCATTACGCTAACTGCTGGTTCCCGGTCCTGAAATTTAATACACTTTTAAAGGGCCAGCTAAAAGGGAGACCAGCAGATGGCATAATGGTTGCATAATTGGACTCTGATGCAGTCGACCATGGTTCAAGTCCAGGACCGGGTGGCTTAAAACCTATACTAGGAGCATGTGTACCCGAAGTCCCAAGAAGAGAATGGAGAAGGGATGCAGTGTGGTGTTCCCCCAGGGGATGATTTCTTGTTTTCTGTCTCTGTCTCCCTGCCAAGCACACATGCCTTATAGTGAAAAAATAAAAAGATGTATTTGAAGAGTCAGCTAAAGGAAACAGAAGAAAATAATTGTCTCATGGGGACCAGCAGATGGTGTAATGGCTATAACGAACTGAGGTTTGAGTCCTGGATCCAGTGGCTTAAAACTCACATGCACAAGTGCATGTGCTTACATGCCGAAAATCCCAAGAGGAGACGGGAGGAGAAGGGATTGCAGTGTTGCTATACCCCCTGAGGGGGGTATGATTTCTTGCTTTCTGTCTGTCCCTCCAGGAAGCACATGAACCCTATAGCAAAAAATCTCTATTTAAAAAAAAAATCATCTTATGGTGAGATAAACAGAAATTGATTCACATGAGACTAGAAAGAGCTGGGGAGAGAGATTAAAATTGTAAAATAGTTCATCCACTTCAGATTAAGGAACAAGAAAACTCACTTTTTAAATCCGAAATTTTTCCAAAGTTCACTGATTTTTATCTGTAATCCTGGCTTGTTCTCAGCATTATGATGATTTCTCCTCTGGATGCTAGCTGGCTTCTTGCTCAGCCCACTGGCTCTGGCAGGTACTAAAGGTTTGATCTTAGTTGTAGACAGAGAGTCCAGAGAACTAGATTTATATAGCCCAGGAACCTAAAGATGAAAGATTAAGATTTCTGTTAAAACAGCTAACTTTAGTTAATTCCAAACTACTCTTTACATATATTGCAACTGAAAAATAACCCATAGGCCATGTGTAAACATGTGCTATTTATATAAAGATCTACTACAGAAACCATAGCTATTTAAAAGCAGCTAACACATGCACCTGGCATAAAATTTTAAGGAATTACACAAGTATTCCCAGGAGCAACTGCTGCTATGAGTTTCCTGTTTAGATATCACATCATTTACACACACACACATACACACGACAGCAAAGTACACATTGTTGAGTACATTTTTCTCAATATATCTTGATTCTACTTAACAATGTATCTTGAGGTTTTTCCATTTTATATGTAAAATAGAATTTTATTTTGAATAGGCTGCCCACTTCTCAACTGAATGAATGTATCATGGTTTACTTAAATGTCTATTGACATTTGGGTGTTTCCACTGAAGGGTTGATTTTTATCCTGTGGACAATATGAAGCCATTGAATTTCACTGTTGTTTCTTAGCACAGTGGAAGTGAGGTATATAAAATAAAGTTTTAAAGTAGCTTAATTTTAAAATAAAAATCCACATAGGAAAAATGAAATCCTGAACTAGGATGTTGGTGATGGGAACAAAAGGAGGAAGAAATAAGACAAAGAAAGAAATGTTAAGATCATGTTGGGTCCACTTGTGACTTTTCTGTCCTACAGAGTCACCTGAAGTGCACATGGACGTACTTACTACTCAAAGCACAGAAATCTGAGGCACAGAAATCCGAGTCAAGAGGGAGAAGGAGAAGCCATACCAGGAATGCACCAGCTAAGCCTCTCTTATCCTCCATATTTATTGGGGCAAAAGGGAAAGGAGAATTATTTTCAGAGAAAGTTGTGTCTGACAGGAAGTTGTCTGCTGTAGAGGAAGGTCATTGTAAAGAAAAATAAAAAAGACAACCCTAAGATTTTTGAAACTACATGACAAAGAGAATATAATTGTATTCAACGGATTATAATAAAAAAGTTATAAGAAGAATGAATAAGAGGTAAAAAAAAAAGATGAGTTTGATTTTAGATATAAAAGATGGGTATCAGGGAATATTTACCTAGTCTCCAAAACAGAAGTGAGAGATAAAACCCTAAAAATGCAAATCTCTGAGAGAGAAAATAAAAGTCCAGACTTGGAAAGTACTTTGTACATTTCTTGTCCTGTCACTGCAAGTTAATTCTTTAGATACTGTTCTGATCTTTTTACTATGACTATGCTAATATACTCATGTGTGCATTAAGTATTTTCAGTTAAGGAAATGAACACGGTACTATATGTAAATATATATTTAACTTGTTTTTCTTTTTTACTCAAGAATAACATGGACAGGGTAGGTTCTGTGGGGCATTGGTAACACAATGCTCAAGGGAAGCCAGAACCTACATGGTAGCCACAGTCCAAATCCCCAGCTCGAACAGCCAAAATGCTCCAGGCACATGCATGAGTGCCAAGGATCTGATAAGATGGAGGACCGGATGAGGGGGACTAGGTGTGGTTGAACCCCATGGGAGTACGCACCTCTCTCATAATCTCATTCTCATGTGCACACTCTATAGCAAATAAGGGAGAGTGGGGATGACATATTTCCAAGTCAATATATAAAAAAAGCCTCATTCATTTTATAATCTCATATTTATAAATTGATACTTTACACTTAAAGCTTTGATATACTAAAATTTTCTATGGACTGAATGTTTGTGTTACCCCAAAATCCGCATTTAGAAGTCATAAGCTCTAATGTGATAACCTTTGAAGTGGGACCTTTGGGATACAATTAGGTCACCAGGGTGGGAGCCCTCATGAATAATCAGTGCCCTTATAAGAAAAGACACAGAGAGAGGATCTCCCTGTGAGGACATAATAAGGCAGCCACCTCCAACCCAGGAAGAGGCCCTCACTAGACATGGAATCTGCTAGCACCTAGATCTTGCATTTTCCAAACTCCAGATCTATGGGAAATAAATATTTGTTGTTAAAGCTACCCAGTTTATGGTATTCTAATATAGCAATCTGAACTAAGTCATTATATATATAATAGTATATGAAATGAACATCTTCTTTGAAATGGGTATGCAGACCATTTATTGAAAAAATTTAAAAGTTTTTACACTAATTGGAAAATAACATGAAAAGCCTTCAAAAAGTTCATGGAAAATACATATCATTTTTAAAAAAATTCATGGATTTCTTCTTGCACCTAAATAAGCTCATACTTTAATTCTACTTTCCATAAGCTTTTAAAATTTTTTAATCTATTTTATCTTAAGTTTTTTTTTTAATACATTCAATCATATACATCACTTAGCTTGTAAAGTGAATTTTTCCAACATGAACACATTTCTCACCAGTCCAGGTGGGGATACTATACATGTTATCATCAATAGATAATAATCCATTTCTGTGTCTCATAAATGTCTTGCCTATTTTTCTCCTTAGGGTCTTTCCTCACACTCCTCCTCCTCTCATACTCTTCCCACACTGTATCCAGTATCTATAACCATTTTCCATGTTTCTATATCCTCTAAGTTTTCAGTTTCAGCCATAGAATACAGACAGTCGGTATATATTAAGTGGGGACATACAATGTTTCTCCTTCATAGTCTGGCTTCCACGAATTTTTTCAAGTCTGATTATATGTTCACTATAGAAAAACATGACAAAAAGAACACAAAAGAGTTCATCTGTATTTCTACCAAAGTTAAAACAAATGATTATTTAATAATTTATTCCTTTCCTCTTCTTGGGATTATGGGCAGGCACACACATGTGCTGGCATGAGTTTTAAACCACTGGGTCTGGGATACAAATCACAGTGGACTACATAGGAGTCCAGCAATGTAACCATTATGCTATCTGCTGGTCCCTCTCCTCTATTTTTCCATACTGAGCATGTATGCACACTCAACCAGTCCCACGATTCAAACTGTGGGGGGCCGTGCAGGATCTGGCTCCTTTAGTAACCAGGCTATGTGGCTGGCCTTATTTCCAGGTTTTCACTATTGTAACCAATGCAGTTTAAAGTGTTCTTGAGCTTAAATTCTTAATGTTTCTTAGGCTCAAGTTCTATAATGTATTTACTGGGTTGGATTATTTAAACTCTTTCAAATTCCTTCTCAGAAAAAGCAATTCTTATTCTCTTAGATAGCAAGTAATTATTCATCTTGCTATACTACCGTAAGAAAATGAGTAAAATTTGAAACATGTTTTGGGAATCCAGAGGCAAGAAAGTGTGCTTTATTATTTTAATTTGCATTGTTTGATTATGAAGGAGGCTGGACCTGCTTTTCTATATTTACCAACCATTTTATACCCCTTTTGTGATCTGCTTATGCCCCTTGTACATTTTTTAAGCTAGGAATTAGAGCTTTTATATCGACGGGTGAGAACACTTAGTATATAGAATATGCATTAACTTGTGAGATTTCACTAAGTAGTTGCATAAATATTTGTATATTCTGACTAAAAAACTGGTTTTTCATGGGTACACAGTTTCTAGAAGGCCTTCTGGAAATACATATCAGGGCTTTAAACCCTATATGACTTGTGACTGGTAATATCGTTCCATGGAGTTTATCCCTACAAATTAAACAAGAATATTACTGAAATATTACCCACAAGCTCTTGGTTGTAGCACTGCGTACCAGAGCAAAAATTTGGTACAGTAAATGACAAAAAAAAGGGGGGTGGGGGATTAGCTAAATCCACAGAATGGCATATCGCATAGTCATTGTAAGTAATGGAAAAAGACCTGTAATATATACTGCAAGAGAAAATAGGTTCCACCACTTAATTACCTATAGTTAAGCACAACATGGTCCTAGAAGGTTTGAAAGCAAACATTTTTGTATAAATGAGAATATAGATACAGGTTGAGTATCCCTAATAGAAAATCGCAAATCTGAAAGCTCCAAAATTAGAAATTTTGGGGGCACCAACATATTACAAGTGTAAAATTTAACATTTGACCTCATGTGACAGATCATAGTCAAAATACTGCAATACATAATCATGTAAAATTATCTTTAGGCTATGTGTCTAAGATGCATACAAAATATAAATGACTTTCATGTTTAGAATTGGGTCCTATCCCCAAGCTATATCATATATATTCAAATATTCCAAAATCCAAAATATCTCTGAAATCTGAGACACTATAGGTCCTACAAATTTTAAATAAGGGATACTCAATCTGTATTTTAATTTTGCTTCTATTTCTCATTTTCTGGTAATAAGCAGACACTGGTTTTGAACCTCAAAAAATTTATTAAATAAATGCTGTACCTTATTCTTCTGAAACTTGTCTTTTTTTGAAAACTGAGATAAATGTATCTTGGAGTTCTCATTAGCTTGATCTTCATGCAATTTAATATTACAATCTGATTCCTGGATCCCCAAATCAAAAAATTAAGTAACATTAGATTTTCATTATTGAATTTTTATCAACTAACTGACACTCAACAAAATAGAAAATAAAGTGAGAAATAAGTAAGAAATAAGTGTAAACAGAATATAACTTCACAGAAAACAAGGAATTCAAAGAATCTTCTACCAGGACTAACAATACTCAGCAGAGAATAAAAGCAAAATTCTCAAAAGAGGCTAAGATTTTAGCTTGGCATCCTCCCCAAAATTTAAAATACAACACATGAGAGAGATCTGGGATTCAGTATATAAATTGATTTTAGCTTTCTCATTTCCACATATTAATTTGTTCTTTTCTTTAGTGTGAATCCAAGTTTTGTTTAGGAACGTGAATTAAATATTTACTTTTTGAACCTATATTAACATATAGATACTGCTTAATATTTGCGACTGTTACACATCACAGTTCTGCTAAATATTACTACAACAGGGGCTGGCAGGTGGTGGGGTGGTTAGGGGTGCTGAACTCCCACATGGCTGACCGCAATTCGAGTCCCAGACCTGGTGGCTTGCTTTCTCACTTTCCCTCTCTCTCTCTCTCTCTCACACTCATTCTAGTCAAATTAAAATAAAGTTACATTAAATAATTCTTAAAAAAGGAAAAAAATAGTACTATAATTGTCTTACAACTTGGTGATTACAGGTGGTAATGATAAGACAAAGCACATTATACCGGTAAATTTGAGACAACTCAGATAAAAACAAAAATTTTTCGCCAAAGGACCATTTTTACGTATGTCACTAAATCTTCTGAGCAGATTTGATTTTATACAAGTAAGGATAAAGATATTTCATATGGAAAAAAGTAGTTAGGATGCTTTTATTCATTCAAAACAGAATAGCATAAAATAATTCATATTACTATTTTGTTTTGTTATAAAGTTTAGCAAGAATAGAGTAAATGAAAATGTATTTCTGAAATACTTTACTTAAGATGGAAACCGTCACATTAACAGGGACATTTCCCTATAAGGTTCCGAATGTTATATAAATTTAAGAGTTTATTAAGACCAGCAAGTGGCACAGTGGTTAAGGTGCTGGACTTGGACATGGCTAACTGTTGTACCTGGTGGCTTGCTTTCTCACTTTCTCTTTCTGATAAGCGCATAGGCCTTATAACAAATTAAAAATAAATAAATAAATAAAATAATTCTTTAAAAATATTAAAGATTTAAAATATAAATTCATTAATAACTTTTCATTTCATAGGTTATTTTTATTTATTTTTTTTTTAAAGAGAGATTTTTTTCACTACTGGGCATGTGTGCTCCCTGGAGAGACATAGACAGACAAAGAAACAGAAAGTGAGAAATCACCCCCCAGGGAGGATGGCCATGCTGTAATCCCTTCTCCATTCTCCTCTCAAGATTTTGGGCACCCACACTCATGCACCCAGCATGAGTTTAAGCCACTGAGTCTGGGACTCAAAATGTGGTCAACTACATGGAAGTCTAGCGATGTAACCATTATGCCATCTGCTAATCCCCGTAGATTATTATTCTGCTTTGATATTAACCATACCACAACTTGAGATGCCAATTGATGGAACACACAATAATTTAGGAAGTATAGAGTCACATTATTTATTGTACAGGAATTTAAAAGGTGAAAGATACAAATAAGTCCCTCATATGAATAAAATGTGAATGTTCTATACAGTAGGATTTAGAATGGAAAGTTAACGAGCTATTTCTATAATGTAGGCAAAATTTACTCAACTATTTGATTAACATTTTATTTTCCCTTATATCTGAATTTGAAAACAAAGGCTTCATGTTTTGACTTACCTCTGAATCAGAATCCTTACTAGAGGGCTGAGAAAGTTTTGATGTATTTAAACTGTGCGGCGATAATTCTACGCTTTCCTGAGACTGTGATGACATTTCGTGTAAGGGATGAGATCCATCATTTGACTCATCACTCTTTAACTGAGATATATCAGACATCTTATTATTCTCTGGCAGAGGGGTGGAGGAATCACTTTTTCTTCGGAACTGCTGCAATACTGTGCTTGAGGAGGGGCTTGGAGTTTTTGAAAAGTCTCCAAGACTTCCAGACCAACTAAAACAACTCCTTAGTGTCCCCAAGGTGGGTGGTGAAATGGTCCTTGTGAATTTGCTGGTTGTAAAAGACTGAGACGCCTCATTAGCAAACACAGTTACACCATTTAGACTCTCATCACTTGAATGATGTGCTGTATTTGTATCAACCAGTTCCTTGCTTAGGTCTAGACAACCTGATTCACTTGGATTGGTCTCTTTTCCTGTGACAGCAGTTTCTTCTAGAGACTGGCTACTTACTTTCTCTGAAACAGAGTTCGCAGCATCCAGAGAACTGCAAAAAAACCTAACAAAAAGCAACAGAAAGCAAAGGTAAGTATTCTAGTTTTCTCACAAAAATATTAATATTTGAAATGGAATAATGCAGGCCAGCTTGTTGTATGGTAGCTAAGATGGCTAGATTCCCACATAGCTAAATGTGTGGTTCAAATCCCAGACCTGGCAGCTTGGAGAACATGCTACATGTGTGCGTGGGCGTGCGTGCCCAAATTCCCAAGAGGGAGAATAGAGAAGGAACTGTAGCGTGGCCATCCCCATTGGGGGATGTTTTCTCAGTTATTCTCTCTCCTTCCATTTCCCTAATGAGTATACATGTCCTGTAGCAAATAAAAATAAAACAAAATGGAATAATGCTCTACTTTCTTTCTTTCTTTTTTTTTACTATAGGGCGCGTGCACTCGCCGGACAGACAGAGAGAGACAGAGACACAGAAAGTGAAAAATCATCCCCTAGGGGGGATGGCCATGCCACAATCCCTTCTCCTCCGTTCTCCTCTCGGGATCTTGGGCATGCACGCACATGTGCCCGGCGTGAGTTTTAAGCCACCGGGTCCGGGACGCGAATCGCGGTCGATTACATGGGAGTCCAGCGACACAGCCATTACGCTAACTGCTGGTCCCGCTCTACTTTCTTAAAAAGTCTCATAAGTATATAATTTCCTAACTAAAGGCAATATAGATCTTGAGTTTTACTTGAAATTTAAATTTGGATTATATCAATATTTACACACTTAGAAACTAATTTATATAACGCATTATTAGACAGAACTTTCGAAAAGTAGCCTTCTTTATACACATGTTCTGAACTTCCATATTTTATCTATACCTAAACATCACTTAAGTGCTCTTTTCCCTAACCTTTAAGATTGGGATACAAAGACACGGAGAGCACCAGGTAGGGTACTACCTTAGGTCTAGGATAGTGGCTCATAGTCAAATATATGAACACCCAGCAGACGGGCTAATTCGTAACTACTATATCTCACAGAAAACACACGGAAAGAAATTAGCCATTTACCTCTCATCTTAAGGTGTATTCCTAGCATCAGATCATATGGGAATTTCTGGTAACACGTTAATCTACTAACTTGTTATTGACTCTATAAACTTCTACATCATTTTAAATATTGAGGTTAAGGTTTTCAAATCAATCATTAAATTCTATATAACTAAAGAGGTATTATTTGTACAGTGTAGCAGCTTTAAATAAACTGCTTAAAAATACTCCAATAATCACTATTGAGAAGGATCTATGCAAGGAGAGTTATTAGGCTGAAGAGAATTTACCTTTCAACAAGCATCATTTCAAGTCCAAGATGATGAAGAAATATTTACTAGATACTATAGAGTGAAAATCTTCTCCATCCTTTTATCAAATCCTCAGTTAATCTGAGGGACTGGAGGGACAGGACAGAAAGTAGTACATGAAATAAAGCTTTTTTTTTTTTTTTTTTTGTGAGAGATTTGCTATAGGGTGCATGAGCTTGACAGAGAGAGTATAAGAAATCACCCCCCAGGGAGGATAGCCATGCCACAATCTCTTCTCTTCCATTCTCCTCTCTGGATCTTGGGCAAACATGCACATGTTCCCAGTGTGAGTTTTAAGTCTCCAGGTCTGGGACTCAAATAGCAGTCAACTTCATGGGAATCCAGAGATCTAACTATTATGCCATCTGCTGGTCCCCTGACTAGGCTTTTCATTAGGCAAAATCATAAGTTTGATTTCACACAGTTTAATTTATTTTTATTTTTTAAGTTTGTCCATTTCTTTCTTTCATGGTGTTGGAGGAAGAGGCACCCTAACAAGTTCTTTATGCTATAATTCTACCCCCAGCCAGCCAGAATCACAGCTTGCACGTATGTACCCAGGGTATACAGGGAGACCTTGGCACATGAACTTGGGACCTTTTAATATGGCTCCAGCATTGTGGAGTGTTGTATACCCTTGTTCTGCTGTTTCTGGCTAATTTTTAAATAAACCGTAATTCTTAAGATGCCCAACTATTCTCTCATGGGTTAAGAGAAGTTATAGTGTCGCGTGTTATAAAATTAATCAGCTATAGAAGAAAATAAAAACCCTGAACTCCTCTAAGTTCATGAATGCTTCTTCCTAATTAGCCTAAGGTGTTACTTTACTGATATTATATTTTTAGATCTCAAAAGATAAACTGGAACATTTCTAAATAAGTACCTACATAATAAAAATAATTAAGACTCAGTAAAACAGACTTCCAAAAAAGCAGACAGATCAAACACGTTTTATATGTTTGATACCTCCTTTTAGTTGCATTATATTGAAAAGAGAGCGATGGTAATGAATGCTTGTGTCTGTATTAATAACTAGGCACTGAGCCAGGTGTTTGATATTCAGAGCTTCTACTAACCTTCAAAACAGCCCTATGTATATGGTCATCCATACTTTACAAAGAAATAGTCTCAGGGAAGTTAAATAGTGCATGGGAGATCACTCACTAAGATGACAGCAAGAATTTAAATTCGGGTCTGTCAGATGATGTGCTGTTTTCAATCTATCACATTAACTATGAACTATATTAACTATATTGTTGCCCAGAGAGAGAGAGAGAGAGAGTGAGAGAGAGAGAGCAAGCAAGACAGAAAACAGGAAATCACCCTCCTACGGGGCATGACCACACCGCAATCCCTTCTCCTGCTTTCTCCTTTCAGGATTTTGAGCATGCATTCACATGCCCCTAGCATGACTTTAAGCTGCTGGTTCTGAGACTCGAATTGTGGTCGACTACATGAGAGTCCAGTGACGTAACCATGTTGCCATCTGCTGTTACCTACACCAATATTAGTTTTACTAGTTGTCTTAAAGAGTTCAACACTAAGCAGCAGAAAAAGGAAACTATTCTCACCTGAATGGAAAAATGAAACCAAGTTCCAGAAACTTGTCCAAGTAAAAGAAGTCAACTCTCTGAAACTTCTTAAAACAGTCCATTTTCTATCATTTGCAGCCTACCTTTTCATTCCTCCATGTTAATAGCCACTTTAAATGAAAGTGACTAGCAAAAGATGAATTAAAATATCTTTTAATTTGTATTGTATTATGACTTGAGAAGATTTAATGACAGAAAGTTTGAAACATCACCCAAAGTGAGGCTTAGGGATTGCCAACGACTCATTCCTTCATGCCCAACTTCCAGTATCATGGTTAGACAAAATTGACTGTGGCCTTATTTATTAAATTTAAAAAAAAAAGAGACAAAAAAATCCATTGTACGTCTTCCAGATGAATACAGAGGCTAATACATTTTCTGTCAAAGTTACTCTATTATGCCTAGATAACTTCTCACACTTATATTTCCTTTTTCAAGTTGTGTTACCATCATCCAAAGTCAATAAAACACGAGTTATTTCTTGTATGTATATCTTCTATGGGCACTGTTTTAGGCACTTACAGTAATTCATTTAATCCTCTCAATAGCCCTTAAGTTTTAACGACTATTAGCTCCAAAGAAGAAATCTTTTTAAAAAACTACTTTTCAGGGGACCAGCAGTTAGCGTAATGGCTATGTTGCTGGACTCCCACGTAGTCAACCGCGGTTTGAGTCCTAGACCTGGTGGCTTAAACTCATGCTGGGTGCGTGTGTGTGTGTGCCCAAGATCCCGAGAGGAGAATGGAGAAGGGATTGCAGTGTGGCCATCCCCGCTGAGGGGTGATTTCTCGCTTTCTGTCTCTGTCTCTCTGGCGAGTGCACTTGCCCTGTAGCAAAAACCTCTCCCCCAAAAAAGGAAAACAACAAAAAAACTACTTCTCGGGCCAGCATGTGGCATGGTGGTTAAGGTGCTGGACTCCCACATGGCTGACTGTGGTTCGAAACCCAGACCTGGCAGCTTGTTTTAACGCTTTCCCTTTGCCTCTCTCTTCGGTCAAATTAAAAAATAATAATAACAAATTGAATGAGATACATAAATAATGCTTAAAAAAAAAAAACCCTCAAAACACAAAAAACAAAACTCCATTGAAGGTACCCAGAAGTTAATTTCCCCTAGTCAAACATCTGAGAGTGACTAGAATGGTAATCCAGGTGTCCTGACATCAGCATCTAAATTCCTAATCCTGAAGTTATACTGATTCTTTAACATCTCATAATCACTCACAAGGCCTATAGCAACTGTCTGACTGATCTTTCTACTGAATTCACCTTCTCAGGTCACTCAGAGCTATCTATTCAAACAGAAATTGAGGGACCAACAGATGGCAGATGAACTCCCACATGGCCAACCATGGTTTGGGTGCTGGACCTGTAGGCCTGAAACTGCCACCGGGCACATGTGTATGCATTCCCAAAATGCCAAAAGGAGAATGAAGAAGGGACTGCAGCATGGCCATCCCCCCAGGGGGTGATTTCTTGCTTTCTATCTCTCTATCTCTTTATCTCTGGTAAGCACACATGCCCTACAGCAAAAATTTCTCTTAAAAAACAAACAAGCAAACAAACAAAAAAACCCACAACTGAATCCTACTGCTTCACTGATTAAAACCCTTTAAATGTTTCCCATTACCTTTGAAGAAGACTAAACCTTCCTTAGTAGCTTGGCATACAAGCCTTTCTTGAACTGGCCTCCTGCCTATTTCTGCTCCCCCCATCATCTGCGCTCCTCAACTTGAACAATGGCTGTGGAGTAACAGTGAGATCAAGGGCAGTACTTCCCCTGTACCTCTGTTGCTTTCCACCTCCACACCTTCCTTTACGCTGCCTGACTACTGCACTAGGCTCCAGGCTTAGTCTGCTTTACCCAGCTAGGCATTTAAAACTTGGTAGGGACACGCTTCCCTTCCATCTTGGTCTTTCCAACCATGGCCCCAGCATTAGATGCCCCTCTAGTGCCCTCACGAAAACATGATACATGGCCTTTATCATTGTTCTTACCACACTTATGGAAAGACTGTTTGTGTATCCATTTTCCCAACTGGTCTATAACATTCTCCAGAACAAAAACTAGAAGACATTTTCATTTTAATAGCCACAACATCTAATAAGGTATCAGATTCTTAATATCAGAATTTTATAGTCAATTATATAAAAATATATTTCAGAAAATAGTTTGCAAAATTATATTTAGCCCTCAAAGGAAATTAAAATCGAAATCAAGAAGTGGGAGGAGACTCCTCAAATAACAGAATTTATGTACTGTGAAATGTAAACACTATGTTTCACTTTCTCTCAATATCTCTCTTTGGTCAAATTAAAATAAATAAATGGAGATATAAAGTTAAATAAAATAATTCATAAAAAAAAGAAATGTAACACTAGGGTCTATAATTTTCGTATTTTGAATCTGTATGGAGAGGTTATAGAAGTAACAGAAATTCAAGGGAGCAGTGATACAATAAGGTTGGATTTAAGATATACACCATAAACACTGTAATCAGATCAAGGCAGGTCCTATCCCCATTCCCACTAAATTCAACGTTTATTCAAGACAATCAGACACACCACGTTTTACGGATGCAACTATACCTGCTTCTGGTCCCGGGAACTACAACTGCACCACTTTCTTTATTTTTTCTCTGTAACAATGTTGCAAATTTATTCCTTGTCCGAGGTGGTGGGCTTAAGCTTCTTTTGCCAGTAGGTGGATCTATCAAGTCAGGCATGAACATTTCAGATGAGTTCAGTGATTTATTACCTTCACAACTATTTTTCTTGGCCTTCTTTGAAAGTGAGGAATACTGATTCAACAGATCATCTTCTGACAGCTCTTCTAAATAAAAACAAAATGATCTGTAAATCTTCATTTCATTTGTAGTTAAGAGATTTGGTTCTAACTTCAGAGTCTGTATCTTGCTGTCCTAAGAATAAAGTTCCTTTATAACAAACAAACAAAAAAGACTCCAAAAAGCTATTCCTTTTAAAAGGAAATACAGATCTGGGATTAGCAGTTGGTGTAATGGCTATGTCGCTGGACTCCCATGTAGTCGATCACAGTTTGAATACTGGACATGGTGGCTTAAACTCACGGGGGGTGCATGTGTGTGTGTGTGTGTGTGTGTGCCCAAGATCCCGAGAGGAGAATGGAGGAGAAGGGACTGCTGTGTGGCCATACCCCCTGTGGGGAATGTTTTCTCACTTTCTGTCTCTCTCTCTCTTTCTGGCAAGTGCACGTGCCCTATAGCAAAAACCTCTCCAAAAAAAAAAAAAAAGACTTGTGCAATTTTATATGAAATTATCTATTTCAATACATATTCAATTCTAGATGATTATATACTCGTATGCTAAGCCTAAATTTGAATATAAAAAAGTTAAGGTAATTTACATTAATAGTATGATAAATGATTGATTTTTTAAAACGTTTTTGCTATATGGCACGTGTGCTTGTCACAGAGAGACAGAAAGGGAGTAAGAAATCCCCCCAAGAGGATGGCCATGATGCAATCTCTCCTCTTCCATTCTCCTCTCACGATCTTGGGCACACATGTATATACAACCAGCACGACTCCCAATCTGCCATGTCCAAGACTTGAATCACACAGCCAGCCATGTGGGATCCAGTGCCAGATCCAATGAAACTTGCAGCTATTTATACGTACAATCCATTTGTTACGGTTTTTGGGTGTTTGTATACGTGTTTGTCATATTACAGGAAGTAATTTGTACCCCAGCCCTTATCCTCATTACCTCACTAGGAAGAAGTCTGCCATGTCCAACGTATACTATGGTATTAAAATAAATGACATGATAAATACAAAAGTTATAGCCTGAAATAGGTAAAGACTCTCAGACAGCATTGGAGTGGTCTGTACTCGTTCAACTAATTCACAGAATTTGAACAGCTTCCACTACACAGAGGTGTTAAGTGTATACTATTTAATGTTTTGACAAGGTGGCTGGGGTACCAAAAAAGGTCTATCTCTAGCACAGCACTCTAGATTTCTGTACCTGCTGATTCTGTTAACACTATAAAAGCAAACACATTTTTTTTTTTTTGAAAGAGAGACATTTTTACTATAGGGCGTGTGTGCTCACCAAAGAGAGAGAAAGAAAGTGAGAAATCACCTCGCTTTCGATCTCCTCTTAGGATTTTGGGCATGCACGCACATACACCCAGCATGAGTGTTAAGCCACTCTGGGACCCAAACCACAGTCGACTACATGGGAGTCTAACGATGTAGCCATTATGCCATCTGCTGGTCCCAAACCAAATAAGTTTTTAACCAAAATTTAAGATACAGAAAGTCATATTTATCAATTTCCAGATTGCATAGATAATACCCATGTTAGATAAGAATACAAAGATTTTAAAAAGATAAAAATACTAATAGAACAAGAGGCTAAAAGGAAATAAGATGACCTTGATAGGGATAACTTAACCCACATTTAATTTTAAAATAAGCTTAATAGCAACTAGCAGATTTCAGTTCTAAATTCAGCAAATCCTGGCAAAAGGACAAGAATACTTATAAAAGCAAAAGCAATTTTTGCTGTAACAATAAAAACGCAGTCTACAGGTAAAGTATTAAAATAGTGCCACGTGGCTGGCCCCATGGCTTATTGGTTAAGAGAACTAGATTCCACGTGGCTGACTGTATGGTTTGAATTCCAGCTTTGGTGGCTTGGGCATGTGTGCATGCATGCTCAAAATTTTGACAGGATGTAGAAATACAGAAGGAGGAATTGCAGTGTGACCAGGACCTGCTGGGTGGTACACACACTCTCTCTCTCTGTCTACAGCAAACCTATGCATCTGTGGACAAACTTTTTGTAAAGTTCATTAAATAAAAAAGCACCATACTTGTAAATATTTACTATGCTGTGTCCTAAACAGACCACATCTCAATAGTCATACTCATTGCAACAGTCACACAATTATTAAAAAACTGTATTATACCTAAAGTACAACTTGAAGAGATAAGGATATTTTGGCCTAGAGATTCAAGAGGTCGCAATGGCTGCCTCTAAATATATGGAGGGCTGTCACATAAAACAGGGATTGTGTGTGTGTGTTTGTGTGTGCTAAGGGAACAGAACCCACCAATAAGTGGTAGGTTTAAGGAAGTAGACATAGTCTAACATAAAGAATTTATTGATAATGAACACTATGGAAATAAATAGCTTATCTTATGGAGGAACCAGACCAACTTCAGAGTGCAACAGTGACCTGTTTGCAGTGCCTTTAAGCACATGCCCAGGATCCTGACAGAGGGAGAATGGGAAGAAAATGGACTGTGGAGGGACCCTCAGTTGGCATAATGCTATGTCTCTGGACTCCCATGTAGTCGAATGTGGTTCGAATCCTGGACCTGGTGGCTTAAACTCACGCTGGAGACATATGCATGCGCATCCAAGATCCTGAGAGGAGAATGGAGGAGAAGGGATCGTGGTATGGCCATCCTCCTGGGGGGTGGGGGGTGATTTCTCGCTCTCCGTGTCTGTCTCTATCTTTCTGGCTAGCGCACATACCCTATAGCAAAAACATCTCCAAAAATAAATAAATAAACAAATAAATAAATAAAAATGGACTGTGGAATGAGCAGGTTCTGCAGAGAACTGATTTTTCTGCCTCTGTCCCTCATGCATGTACCCTTTGGCATTAAAAAAAAAAGAAAAGAAAAAAAAAAGAAAGCAAGGACGAAAAGAAGGGAACTAACAAGTATTGTGTACTTGCTGTAAGCCCTTTAAAATAGCGTATCTTAACAACAGCAGAAGAAAAGGAAGAAACAAACATGTATAGCAAGTGTACTTGCTATGTACCATGTGCGTGTATACTTTATCTTATAATGCTGCAGAAAACAGACCGCTGAGAAACCAAGCTCCACTCAGAGTAGGAGAACTCGGGCTTATCACCCTATTGGATCCAGAGGAGCTTGCGCTCCAAGTCTGGGTACCAATTTGTGGAAGTTACAGGGGTCATAGAGCATGGTTCAGGGATACTGCGGACAAAGGAAACCAGAAAAGTCCCCAAACAGTTGTAAACTAACTTGTAACATTTCCCAGTTCCTATAGAAACTGGCAAGCAGGCAATTTACAAAAGTGGAACAGAAAAAAAAAAATAAAAATGGAACAGAAATATTTCCTATTTAGTAAACAGGACCCATATCAATAACATATACAAAAGTTTATGAAAGTGAACCAGCAGTTAGCGTAATGGCTATGTCGCTGGACTCCCATGTAGTCTACTGCGGGTCGTGTCCTGGACCCGCTGGCTTAAAATTCATTCCCGGCGCCTGTGGGTG